AACAGGGTTCAAAACCTGTTCTATCACAGGAAAACGGTATCAGGACATGTTGACAACGTTTGTGATCCCTGAACTGCAACAACGTGGCAGCCTCCAGGACACGATATTTATGCAAGATGGTGCACCTCCCCATATTCTTCATGGCGTTCAACAGATGTTACGGGCAACTTTTACCGATGCACGTGTGATCAGCCGCTGTTTCCCTACAGCTTGGCCTCCCCACTCGCCTGATCTCACGCCATGCGACTTTTGGTTATGGGGATTCTTAAAGGATCGGGTCTACCAAGAACACTCAGCAACCTTGGCGCACATCTGAAAGGTGCAATTATTCGACATGTTTGTGGAATTAATGTGGACTTACTGCGTTCCGCTGTGGAACACACTGCTTTGCGAATGGAAAGAGTTGTGGAGAACCACGACACACATATAGAACATCTGTAGAATGTCTTGTTGATCTACAGCGCCACCTATCGGCAACTTCTTGTTTTGTTTAATAAATCTCGAGTGCATGATCTGAAGTGTCCGTTTTTAAAATTTCATCACATTATGACCCATACAACACTCTGCACAGGCCTCTGAGTTGGGGAAGTTTAATTTGGATAACCCTGTATATTTACAGTCATCTTTATGCAATGTATTGCTCAAATTAAACTTTTGCATCTGAGAAATAACATTTTTTGTTTGTTAGTGTAATATGCACAAATGGTGCATTTTTTGTTTACCAACAAACATCACCAATAAAATTTATTAATTGTTTGTTGCTTCTCTTTTTCTCATATCTGACAACACTTATATATCATATATGAGTCACCTAAACATTTCCTCATCTACAGTTTATATCAAAAATCATAACATTCCCTAACTGTTTTGAACAGTGTATATTAACATTTTCATCACTAAATATCTTAATGCTAGTAAAATTCAAGACATCTGAAAAAAAAAGGGGGGGTAATCATCTAAACATGATTTAAAGGGAAAAAAAAAGCATGCTTACAAGCGACCTACAGTAATATTTATAATGTTAGTTTTTTACGATGTTCTTTAACACTGCATTTTAATTTGGCTATTTGCACTTTCTGTCTTAAAAATAGTAACTGCTTGCATAAATCTGTCTAAACTGCATCATTTTTAAATTAATCCATATCATATGACCTTATGTAACCCTACTGATGCAGGTACAGTAGGTGCCCCTCAGTGTTGATTATGTTTGTCCATAGCTATTTGATAACATTAAACGATGAGGGAAAAAGTAGATTTCAAAATAGCAATGTATTAATTAATTTAACATAAATGCAACTAGAAGCAAATGCATAGGTACTTCCACAACATTTCAATTAGAAAAATGCAAAAGTTTATTGTGTTTATAAATTCATTTATGAACAGTTCATAACATTTCTAGAAATTATTTGACTGATGCTTTATCCCTAATCTTAAACCTTGGAAGGTATCACTCATTGGAAGAGAACTTTCCAATGTAAAGTTTAAAATGAGGCAAAAAAAGTAACATTAGTCTGACTTAGATGTTTCTAAAGGTTTTGTTTCAGGGTGATATAAAATTTCGATTCCCCCCCCCCTTTTTAACACCTAGGAAAAAAATGCAAAAACTAGTTTTTCTCTCTTTTAATTTAAAATGGCTAACTGAAATTGAAATTAAGCATCTCTCATTTGGCAATATTTCTCTGTCATTTGGCAATTTTTATTACCTATTTTGAGTTTATTTAGCAACTTCAAACCACTTTCAAAAATTTATTCTGCAATAGTTTTTAATCATATTAAGCAAACTGTTGATCCCAATAAACAATATTTTTTCCATGTCTGCCTTTAGACGTGGGGCATTTGATAGAAACATCCAAATCATAACAATTATCATGATCATACTAAACAGCATCTACTATATTCACATAATGCTTCTCTACCAGGCTTTCTTATCCAACGTGCCCTACATTTTTGAGCTCACTTGCTTCCAGATAAAATGTTCTGATAATTTCTCTCTTTCATCAACTATATTCAAATACAGAAAACTTACAATAAATAGTTGCAGATTGCAACCATATTTATGTATGAATCAGAATATGTATCTGAAGAGTTGTTTTATATGGAAATAAAGTGTGTTGATTTGTCACAATGGCTGCAGTCGACTACAATTATGCATTCTACATGGCATTACCATCCACATCAGCTATGATGTGTCTTCTCTACAGTACAATCCTTTGTAACCAGCAACCAACCAATCAAAAAAATGGCACTTTTGAAAGTCTAAACTTAAATCTGAAATTTAGAACCATGAGATAAAAAGTATGTAACGTGGTAACAATTTGAAAATAATATTGAAAACCTTTGTGTTATGTTTCTGCCACTCAACATATGAAGATTTATCGAGCTAATGAATCACAGAATTATCCAGAATATAAAGATGAACTACCAATCCCTTTCTATACATCCATGTATGAATTCGGAAAGCAGCATTCACAAATTTCAGAAAAAATTAACACTGATGGACGACATATTTATTTGTTTTTTTTTTCCTGGTAAGATATAAACAATGTTACATTCCTGTTGGTGTGAACTGTGGCTTGTGACCAAGTTTGTACCTGATGAATCGAATGGCAAAGATTTTCTTGGTTTTAAAATATGTCTACCACCCATGTCAGGGATCTTGGATTTTACTTACATATTCCGAGAAGATTATTATTAGTGAAGAGGAGGTGCAGGCTTGAGTCGATACAGACAATTCTGTTCTCATTACTCTCTCTCTCTCGATGATGATGAAATACTGGACATGTACTGAAAAAGGAGAAAGATGAGAAGGGGGAATAAGATGAAGACGACAAGCAGAGCAAGAAGTTATATGGAAGGAAGCTCATGAAGTATTGCAGTCTTTCAAAAGATTTCCTGAGAAATGTTCATCTATGTCCTGTATTGCTGGATTACTTTTATTATAATGACACTGTAACAACAATATTATTTGTATAAATTGTTTGTTAGTTTGATTCAAAAATTGTCATATTCGCAAATCACTAAACCAAAATTTTATAGATAAATTGATGCTAAAATTTCAAATTGTTAATGAATGGCCTGACCTAAAGACACCATAATAAAAAATAATCACATTCCAGAAAGGATAAAACTTGATTTCAATATAATACAGACAGAAAATTCAAATGACAACCATTTTATTTCCTGAGAGAATGCATTTTTAAATATAGATCTGATGACAAACTAGCATTTGGCAAATCTTTTTGTTGTGTCTTTTTAGTGCTTTAAAAAAAAAAAAAAAAAAAAAAAAAAACTGAAATTTTCAGATTTTAAATTACGTCCAAAGGGGCGTTTTTTTAACGTTTTGAGTGTTACCTTTATTTATTAAATATCATGTTCTTTGCACTTAAACCATAAAATTCAGTTCAAGAGCAATATCGCAAAATAATGTTAAATTAAGCATATCTTTAGAATTTCCGATATACACAGTCTCGCGAGCTGGAGATAAAAGTATTTTTTTCTATATAACGTTGCCATTTCTCGCTTTTAAAGCATTGAGTTTGTAAATCAAAAATTCGTTAAAGTTTTACAAAATATAAAATCTATAATAAAACAAATTCCAAATTTGGGATTTCAGATGCCCATATTCGCAGTAGGATTTCGTCATTCAAAATTCGATGGCTCTATGTACCATTGTTTTATCACAATGCGAGAAATAGACAATCATTTATGCAGATTTTTCATTATTTAATTTTTTCAAATATAATGCAGGACTCTAACATTTTGTGGCAACAGTTTGAAAAGTGAACCGACGTTTATGAGTCCGACGCAAAATCGCAAAACGAAAACAATAGTCCTTCAAGGACAAAGCCCCTTTGGACTAAAAAAAAATGCAAAGTTCACAAAAACTGAATTCTACAGTAAAATTTACAAAAAATTTCAAAACACTGGTAGATGTAGAACAGAAGCACACCAATATTTAATTTAAAATTAAACAAAAGAACAACCTAACATCAGTTTTATTAAAAAAGTGTGCCAGTCTAAGCTTGCTCTTTAACTTATACATGCAAAGTCTCACTTTAAACTATTTTGGAAGAAACCAAATTTGCAACATTTACAAAGTAAATTATAAGTACCATATATTTCTGTGTATAAGTCAAGAATTTTCGGAACATTTTCTTAAGATAAATTATGGGGATCAGTTTATGTACAGATCCGCAGATCTCGCAAAAAACGTAGGTACTTTTTTATTAGCTGGGTGCGAACGATAAATCACCAAATATAGCATTTTTTTGTTTACTCAGTTTGTATTTCTTAAGTTTATGACACAAATAATTTTAAATGAAATAAGCTATTTGTTTTATGAGAATGAGTTGTTTTATTTTCAAAATTGTTTATACTGATGGATTTTCATAAAAAAAAAACTGATGTTGACAAAATTTGCAGCTGGTTAACAGATCACATACTGCCTTCTTTTGATTCTGTCATCTCCACTAATTTGAGACATTTTTCCTTCCCTCTCAAACTTTTTTTCTCATTTACAGTGAAATACTAAGAAAACCCGCAGTTTGAAATTTGCTGTATTAGAATTCCTCTTCCTGCTAGTCGTACAGACAAAAAATAAAATAGACTACATAAATACCACAAATCATATACAAGACAATAAATGTGCTTCAGATAGGATTACCAGAGTTATACTACTGTCATTGTGTCAGGCATTTTTACTTTACAGCAATTTGATTGGAAAATATTTATTCATTTTACCTGCTTGATAACATTTTCACCCTCATGGTGATGTATTTGAACATTGTAATTTTTTTTTTTTTTTTTAATTTGCCGTATACATAGATTTTGAATTTCGGGTAACTTTTTAAAGAAAAAATGCAGAAATGTGTTATATACAGAAATGTGTGGTACATAATATAATTATTTTCTTTAATTTCAGCCAACTTGAATATCTGACATATCAAAATACTAATCACTTTCAATACAAAAATAAGGAAATTATAAAAAAATATTCTTACTTCTTGTATATTCTGCAAACTGTATACAAAACCCAATTTAGCTAATGCCAGGGCGACAGGAACTTGGGCATCTGAACTGGTTTCTGCTGCCATGTCGTAATATCGTTTCGCCAAATGAATGTCCTGCAATATATAACAGAATGTATTAGAAGTGGAATATTGATATTAACTTTTCATTACAATTTACTGGGTTCTCCAGAAAGTTCTCGAATTTTTAAATCAAAGGCATTTATTTGCTTCTAATATTTTGTTACTGCTGATAAGGAGTGACCTTAATCAAAGTTGATATTTACATATGGTCTTTTCTGATCAAGAGAGAAGAGAAATACATCAAATTAAAACTTAAAATTAGTCTAACAATAACCTTGCGCTTGGCATAATAGATTTTAATCGAAACTTTATCAATTTCAAGAGCAAACAGGTCCTTTTTTGACAAAAGTAAAAAAAATGTTACTTTAACTAGGCAACAACCTTGTGTCGGCATAGATTTTAACTGAAACTCTTATTGACTTTGAGGGAAAATAGATACAGGTTCCCCTTTGTCAGTAGCAATAAAATTCTGTTTTTGTCATATTCTGCTCTTTTATTTTAAAAACAGAAGAAATGCTGATCAGAGTGCTCATAAACTGCATATAGACAAGTACTGATTCAGATGACACAGTTTCAAAGGTAGTTTGAAAAGTTTAAGTGTAGAATTCAGTCATGTTGCCCACTTTGAAAGACCATCCTTTGAACACAAAGACCCATTAAATGAAGCTCTTACTCACAATCCATGGTAAACAGATCAGGAACTAACAGACAGTCTAAATATCCAAAAAATACAGTACAGTCAAAAGTCGTTAATTCGGACACCCATAATCCGGAATGATCTATAATCCGGACCTCAAAGCTACAAACTTTCTGCACATGCGTCGCGTTCACGCATGCGCACAGGCGTTTACAAGAGCGCATAAGACCCTTACAGCTGCGAACATGTTTGTGCCCATGCGCGTTTAATGTGTAACGGAGTTATACGCTAAGCTAAAGTTATCTAATTCAGTTAATGTTGCAGATTGCGTTGTTCCTTAATCTTCGAATTGGATCCGGCTTATTATTTTTTGCAGACTGTTAGAGCAATTTTATAAAGTAAGCTTGAACTTTCGATTATGTCAAATAGAATTTCCGATATATATTTACTACAAAGCGAAAGTATGTTTTGAAATCCGAAATCTGTTTATCAATTTCACGCTGCTCTGCGGCAGAGGGGGGGGGGGGCAGAAACGTCATTATTAGATTATGATAGATTAGAAAGATTATGTCAAATAGAATTTCCGATATATATTTACTAATATCTAATTTGTATCTACAAAGCAAAAGTATGTTTTGAAATCCGAAATCTGTTTATCAATTTCACGCTGCGGATTGGAAGTTGATCTGTCAGCACTATCCTTATCTTCAGAGCAGATGTTTTTATTTTATTTGGTTTATAATTCCGTACTAAGTATAGTATTTCATCTCGATATACTCGGTCTTTGATATGATTAAAATCAAGTTCCTCATCATTATAATTCGCTTCCGATAGTGAAGAAAGTGACCCAGAGGTTATTGAAAACGAAAACATTTCCATTGACAAATTAGTCGGTATTCTCAACAACAAAGCAATTATATAGGACTTGAACAGCGGAACTTTGTAACTAAACAAGAAATTATGTCTGTTTATAAAAAAATAAAATTAAAGAGAAAGTATTATCACATGAAAGGAAGCAACTTACATTGAAGGAAATGTTTAATAAAGTAAACAAATAAATATTAAGCTTTTTCTTTTTGTAAATTTTGATACCCTTTAGATCATAATTGTTCTTTATTTCATAAATTACGGTTTCATATTTTTAATTTTGTAATTTCTGCATGCCATCTTACCAGATTTAAACTGATGATCTATAATCCGGAAAAATCGATAATCCGGAATCGCCGAAGTCCCGACGAGTCCGGTGGTGTGGTGTATTTAATTATGGCAAAGCACACGAGGGCTATCTGCCTAAAGGGAGGGATGCCTTTCGTGGAGGACTTTCTAAGGGAAACTGGCTCGTATACACGTTACACATGGGGAAAACCACGAAAACGCCCATGCAGCCAGCCCGTTCGCGGGATTCGAACCTCAGACCGAACTACCAGTGTTCAGCGTCTTTACCGCTCGGCCGCTGGTGGGCCCCCCGACGAGTCCGGATTAACGACTTTTGACTGTACATGAATATTTAAAGAAAATTGGGTGTGTAAGCCGCTTCAAGTTTCAGCACATGATACTTGGCCAAAAGAAATAAAGAAATTCTTTTTTGAAATAATTCATTACTGGAGATGAGAAGCGGATACTTAACAATTATGTTACAAGGATAAGACCATGAGTTAAGCTAAAAGACCCTCTTTTCGTAACATTTACTAAAAAGTAATGGTTTTTGTACGGTGGGACTATAAAGGAACTGTTTGCTATAAATTGTTGCCACCTAATTCAATAATTCAGACAATCAATTAAAAAAAATAACATTCTCGAATGGCAGCATTAAAAGCAGAAATCGAAGCAAAGCCTCCAATACTGACCAAGCACCAAGGTGCTACTTCCCATCATGACTATGTTTGGACCCACATTTCAATGACTATCAGATAAAGACTTGTTGAGGAAAGTTGGGATATTTGTGTGTGTGCTGTATTTACCAGACCTTGCCTCCTCAGATTTATATTTCTTCAGGCCACTTTAAAATTATCTAACTGGCCAGGAGTTCAGTCCTTTGGATACTGTCAAATGGTACCATGGAAACTTCTTTTACACATAAACATAATAAGTCTTTTTTTTAACCATTTTCAGTCATATGTCTACTCTCAACAACAAAAGCCTTTTTTTTTTTTTTTTTACTGTCCTAGTTGTATGTATGCTCTCAGCTACCACAACAAAGAACACACTGATCTTTAAGTCAGCAAGCTTCATAATCTTGCATATTATGGATTACTTTTCAGTCAACAACAATTATTTCCACCCAGCATGATACCTATGTATTATATAAATTTAATATGACTGCAAAGGCTTAAAAAGGAATTTACCAACCGACAGACAGATAGCAAACAAAATCACAGAATAAAATAGTGCTTAATGTGATTTAATGAAATTATCATGTGTCTTTGTGCTGCTTTATTTGTATTTACACTCATGTCCATAAATTAAGGATAATTCGGAGTCACACGGAAATCGAACTCTAAAATAAATATATCACCTGTAAAATCACTACACACATCTTCAAGAATCATATGCAAATTTCAGGAAGTAACCAGATGACACCGATGGTATGTCACAATGATGAGAGTGTAAGAGAATGATATATAAGGAATACAGGCAAAGAAGTAAAATTGTTTGCAGGCGCTTTATAAGCATTTCAGTGCAATAACAGAATAGTTATGACACAAAGGACGCATTTGGATGATTTTTTACATGGAAGAATTATCGGCCGTCTGGAATGTGGGTGTACCCAACTGGAAGTATCAGACAAACTTGGAATTGCCCAGAGTGTCATCTCCAGGCTTTGGCAACGATTTCAAGATGATGGTAATGCGAGTAGTCGTTACAGCACAGGTTGCCCCAGAGTTACAACGCCGAATGAGGACTGGTATTTGGCAGTTACTGCCAAAAGACACAGATGAAGCACAGCCTCAGACCTGTCTCATCAGCTCTCTTCAGCCACTGGTATAAAAATTTTAAGGCAGACCGTGTACAGACGCTTAGGGCAGATTGGTCTATATGCTCGTAGACCTGTCAGATGCGTAATAAAAGCAAGTATGCATAATATCTTTGCATTTATTTATTTATGTTTTGATTTATTGCGCAGTTTAGTACAGTAATATTATCAGTTTCTTTGGTTTTAATTGCGGTCAGCAGGTCACTTGCTGTGACAATACCAAAAGTTAAATACACTGTTTACCACAATCCCTGAAGTAAAATATTCCGTAAATTTAATCCATATACTAATTCTGCCATTAAATTCCATACATCTGTTATTAGATTACTAACACTACTAGCAGCTAATGGACTATTAGAAATGACATTTTTGACTGCTTAATATTCCTACTCATTCTTCTTTATGATATTTACCAGCGAAATTATTTTCAAAGGAACATACAACATATAGACATACATCAAGATCCTTCATTATTTAATAAAAGAGGTATTCCTTGCTTTGTGGAAAAATGATGGCACCTAAGGCCACTAAATTTTCATCACACCTAGGTATCCACCTGAACACGGGCACCTTGAAGCCTGAACAGTGAACCACGAATATCACTTTATATATCTCGAAAGGTCCATCTACTCCTGAAGCACAGGGGCTCTGCCAAACAGTGCAATAAAAAACAAACAGGAACAGCCTGTCATCATTTTGACTTGTATCTCTTGAGTTATATAGAAATTAAGACAGCAAGCTGTTTTGAGCCCATGTTAAAATCAATAGTCAGAAGATTTCCAGCACCACTTTAAAAAAAAAAAAAAAGACCAATTTGTTGCAACACTATATAAGAACCTTTCTGTGATATGTATACAGAGTATGGCTGGCCTTCATTGTTTTCTGCATAACCTGACCTCTATAAAATCTCACAGCTAAATAATGATTTGGCTAGCTGAGTTGGGGTCTGGCCCTTGCACTGAATCAAATCAAATCAACTTTCTATGAAAATGGATACCATCACTGCATACTTACCCGCTTCATTCCTAAACCTTGTTCATGCATGTAGCCTAAATTGAACATGGCTTGGGCATTGTGCTGCTGCTCTGATGCCATTCTATATTGGTTGGCGGCCATCTCATAGTCGACTTCCGTGCCATAACCATAATAGTGGTAGTCTCCTACTTTAACTCGAGCCACAGAATAACCTATAAAAGCATGACAAATTAATTCAAATATTACAATTCACAGACCTAGAAGTTCCAGAGCACAACACTGATTTTGAAATCTGTAACATTTTCCTTATGTGCATTTTTTCATTTCTTATTCATACACTTCTCATTCGGACTGAAATAATAGATTGTGCATACTTTGTTTCAGTATTTACCAGACACAGAGAAATTGCTATATTTTTTAATAATTGCTATATTTTTTATTTATATATATATTTTGAAAATGTATTATTCATTAGCCAATATACAATTCCATGTAAATAAAATTATTCCCTTATAAAGTAATTAAAATAAAATATATAGGATAAAATATTTATACTTTTCTCAAACTGTAGTCCTTGAAACCTGCCCTTGTGGTACTAGATTTATAAACATGTCTCGTTATTTGTAATTAACAAGAATTCATTTCTTGCTGATGAAATGTGGCTTAGTATACTGGCATACCTTTCTCAAAACTCAATGAACTAAATCTCTATCTACAAAGTAATTGTTTAACTATTTCAATTATTATTTACAATTTCTCATTCTCAATACTCATGAGAAATAATTAAATTTCATTTACCTGACTTGAAATCCCTGAAAATTTTTTCAGTTTTCTGAAACTTTTCTTAACAGTTTGTATTTTTTCTGACCACTTTCCACCTCAACACAGAAAAAAACACGTCCAAGTAAAACATAAAATTAGGCAAAACAGCAATTTTGGCATAGATTTTTAGTCAAGACTTTTGTCAATTTCCAAAGCAAACAGGTGCAAGTCCCTCTTCATCAAAAGCAAAAAGGAAGAGAGACCTATACGTGTTTGCCTTCAAAAATGACAGTCATGACTAAAATCTATGCCAAACACAAGGTTGCTACCTTGCTTAATTTTACACTTTTCATTTCCTTGATTTTTGGGAACTTTTTTGCAATTTTATTGACTTTTTAAAATACAGTTTATATTTTCCCTGACTGTTTTCTCATTTCTTGGACTTCTGTGACCTTTCTGGGCAGTTTATATTTTGCCTGAACTTTCAGATTTCCTGGCAACTTCCTTGAATTTTTGGATAAAGTTTAGATTTATTTTATTTGACCACTTTTAATTTCTTTAACTTTTAAAGATTTTCCACACAAGCAGGAATCCGGTGTTTGGTAGAATTAACATTTATAAATTTTGAAGTACAAGATTAGCAAAATTTATCACATTACACATGCACATCAATAAATTATTTAGCAATATTCTTCTAAACAAGTACAAATCCTAAATTTTTGAAGAAATACACAAATCACATGAAAATAACAGAATAAAGAGGAACATTACCTTGACCTGCTGCTCTACTCCAATACATGAGAGCACGATAGTAAGTTTCATTTTTTGGAATTATATCCACATCAGCTAGTTAAAAAAAAAAAAAAAAAAATTAATAAACAAATTAATTTACATTCATTAAATTTGCTTAATTTTTGTGATACATGTTTTCTTCTGCAAAACTGCACCAAGATATTCACATATCTATCATGTTTATCAGTGAAAATTCAATTTATGCTTCTTTTTTTTTTTTTTTTCTTCTTCTTTTAGAAATCATCTACTTTTACTGCCATGAAATTGATGGGCATGCACTAACTAAAGCATAAGATAAATTATACTGGTTAACTCATACTAAATTTATTACTTGATTTAAGCTGTTAATTTTAACAGGGTTGCCACTCAAACAGGAGAATGAAATTCCCTGACTTTTCCAGGCAAAGGCGTAGCTAGGGTTTTCAACGTCACGGACAACTGAAAATTTTGCACCCATTTCTGTGTGCCAAGAATGGAAAACATTTCACTCTGCAATTTCATCACATCAGTTTGACGCCCCTTGAATGCTGTGCCCGGGGATAGATGTCCCCCCTTGCCCCACCCCTAGCTACGCCACTATTTCCAAGTGTGTTTTAAGAAAATTCCAAACTTATAATATTGAAAACGTATTCCAGACGCGTCAACGAGGCGCATGCGCTGAAAGATTTTAGCTTTGAGGTCCGGAATACGTTTATAAACTCTTAGCACAGCCAATGTGCGTAATGCACATTGGCTGTGCTAAGAGGTAAATTAATTATGGTATCCCTTGAAAACACAAAAATTTTCCAATTTCATATGACTTTTATATATATATAATTCCAAAAGCATTACTATTGTAACTATAATAGGAGTTGTTTTCTCCACTGACGATTGAGATTAGAATCTGCCCAATCTAGATTAAAAAAAAAGTCTTTTTTTGCAGTCATTTTGCAGCTAAACGAAAGAAAGAAATCTATTTAATGATATGTTTAAATAAATTCAGGTATTTTATATTTATTTAGGAGCATACATAAGCAAAAATTGGCCATATAAAATTCCCTGACTTTTGCAGATTTTAACTAAAATATTTATTTTCCTGACCTTTCCCTGAATTTTTTGGTCAATTTTCGAAATCCCTGACTTTTTTCGGTTTTCCAGGTAACATGGCAACCCTGTTTCAACACGGTTTAAAGATATTAATTTTAACTTACTTGATTTAAAGTTAAATAAACTGGTGCTAAATTTATTACTCGATTTGAAGTTATAATTTTTACTTATTTGATTTCAAGATACTAATTTTAATGTTACTTGAATATTATCACAACCACTCATGTAGAAGTCACCAAATAATCAGAATATGCCAAACATGCTCAAAATAACCTTTTGGTCAAGGAACATTACCATTTTCGTATGAATTCTTTTTGTTATATTCAAAGTTTGAACAGTTTTTATAGACAAATTGTAATATTTTTTTTTTTTTTAAATTTTACAATGTTTTATTGAAGAATATGCCAGCAATGGAAGAAAAATACAGTTAAATTTCTGCAGGAATACAGTACTTTGCATCAAAATTGCTAAAAGGAACAATGATGAGATGCATTTAACAAATAGCTCGTTAGCATTGTTGAAGTTGTGAGTAATGGCCTGGTTTGTGCAGCTCTCTGATATTTTTTAAGCAAAAAATAGATTGCTGTGTACATAGGGAGAAGAGCAAACCAAAAAACTACAGAACAATTTTAAGAAAAATATAAGTGTTTTATTTTTTAAATGCTTTTAATGTATCACATAATTCTTATTTAATAATTAAAATTTGTATTTTAAATTGCTAAAGTATGTTTTTCTTTGATATGTCGATAATGTGTGCTGACTTACTGATAACTATCAATAGTTTAGTGATCTTTTTTTTAAAAAAAAGTCGCAAAAATCACCAAACTGACCCAAGGTGATTGTGTTAACATGTAAGTAACATTTTAACTTACTTCAATTAAAGTTATCAATTTTAAGTTACTTAATTTAAAAATATCACTTATTTACAGGTATAAACTGTAATTATTTTTTATTTAAAACTGCCAATTTTAACTTCATTGATTAAAAGTTATTGATTTAAACTTACTTGACTTAAAGTTAAAAGAATTGGTGCCAAACTTATTACTAGATTTGAAGTTATTTCAGCGAATTCATAAAAAGCATACTAACAAAATGTACACAAAAGAAGTAAAATGAAATAATTGTAATGTATAAAAAAAATATTGTTGTACTCTATGGGCTTGTGAATGTGTCTTTAAATAACCATTCCAGATCAGCAGAAGAAATGGACAATTCAATTTAATTCATAATTATACACAGAAAAATAAACAGCTGTAATTAAGTGAAGGAGAAAACAGATTATTAGGCAAATCCTCCTCAGCATATCAGAAACTCTGATTATCTGTGACTGCTTAATACATGAACGAGTGCATTCCATTCTGGCCTCCAAATAATTCAGCATTGCAAATTCAACAGCATTAAGAAAATAAACTTTTCGACAAATTCAATGAAACTCACAGTGTCACTCACAGACCTGTCAGATGGATTTCTGCCTACCTCTTGGGTTATATTTGAGTTATTTTCACAATTTAAACATTGATGGATTCAGAATCACAAGATCTACAATTACATACAAGAAATAAACATACACATTCAAACTATATGGCTAAAAATTCAGTTCTGGATCTTGGACTTAGTAGTGTATTTATTTTGCTGTGTATTTTAATTATTTACAATGTTATTTTCTTCCTGCTCATCCAGACTAATTGTTTAAAGCAGAAGTTTCCTAGCCTTTTTCTGTGCACTGAACCCTTTTAAAAGAATGATTTCCTTCATTAATTCCCTTATAATTTTCTTTACAATATAAAACATACAGCATAATCATAATGCAAACAACTGGATATAAATAGCTTAAAGATAACAATTTAGATTAAGAATATGAACAAAGTTTTGAAAAATGATTTATTATATTTATGTTTCATTATTCTTAATTTTACAAATATAAACAAGATTTCAGAAACAAAATCTTAGATTCTAACTGCACAAATGTCCGATTTCACTTAATTTGGTGGTTTCACTCGATGTACGGATGACTCTTTTTAATATTTTGCATAAAATTGCTTAATTTAATATTTAAATCACCTCACTCAAAAATATTCAACCTGTTTCTTGTTCTGAATTCTACATTTGTGTTCTTCCTACTTTACTTAATTGTTTTCTTGTATTTTGCTTTCTTAAACTGACCTCATACTGCATTAAAAAATTATATATAAATATATATATACAGTCAAAAGTCGTTAATTCGGACACCCATAATCCGGACCTCAAAGCTAAAATCTTTCAGCGCATGCGCCTCGTTGACGCGTCTGGAATAGGTTTTCGCGTGCGCGTTTAATGTATAACGGATGGTGTAAGCTAAAATTATCTACTTCAGTTAATGTTGATGATTGCGTTGTTCCTTAATCTTCGAATTGGATCCGGCTTATTATTTTTTGCAGACTGTAAGAGCAATTTTATAAAAGTAAGCTTGAACTTTCGATTATGTCAAATAGAATTTCCGATGCTGGAGCTCCCAAAGGATCTAGAAAACGAAAGTATGTTTCGATGTCCATCAAACAAAAAACGAATTGCTACAAAAAATGGATAAAGACATATCCTTTGTTTATCTAACGGTTCCGAATTCTGTTTATCAATATCAAGCTGCTCTGCGTGGGGGGGGCGGGGACGTTGCAGCGCGCAATGAACTGGAAGTTGATTTGTCAGCACTATCGTTATCTTCAGGGCAGATGTTTTTATTTTATTCGGCTTATAATTCCTTACTAAATGTAGTATTTAATCACGATATACTCCGTCTTCGATATGATTTAAATCAGATTCCTCGCCATTATAAATATCACGAATACAAATCAAATAGTTTTCTGGTTGCAATTTTCTAATTTCGGCTATGTGTAAGGTATGCTTTACGCATGCGCGCGTTGAAAGAAATGTTTAATAAAGTAAACAAACAAATATTAAGCTTCTTTTTTTTGTAAATTTTGATACCCTTTAGATCATAATTGCTCATTATTTTATAAATTACAGTTTCATATTTTTAATTTTATAATTTCTGCGTGCCATCTTACCAGATTTAAACTGATGATCTATAATCCGGAAAAATCGATAATCCGGAATTGCCGAAGTCCCGACGAGTCCGGATTAAAGACTTTTGACTGTATACATACATACATATATATACAGGGCCACTGCGTGGAAGTGGCAAAACTGTTCACCGCACAAGGGTGCCTTGGCCAGGGGGGTGCCAAAATTTATAGTACTTCTAGTTCTTTACTTTAAATGCTACTTAAGTAAGAGTGGTTAATTATACGCTTGCAGTTTTCCATGTTTTATATTTTCTAAGCAATAAAATATAAAATAAAGGTAAAAGTAAACCTCATTTTAATTTTATTTTACTTTTGTTTTCGTTTCTGCGGGTTGTTTTCGGTTATGTAAAACAAAATTTGATTGCCGATACGAACAATAAAAACACGTTCCGTGTAGAGGCTGTTGCGGCTCAACGTTGTCGTTTAATTTGCTTTTTATTAAACGACGATTATTTTGCCACATTTAAAAAATGTATGTATATTATCATTGGGGGGGAATCCCTCAATGATAATATACATACATTTTTTAAATGTGGCAACCAAATCTAGCCGTTCAAAATTATTATTGTATTCTCAACTTAAATGTATTCTCATGACTTTAAGAGCATGTGTATTTTGCTATTTTTTCTTTGTTTTGTGTATTTAATAGTTTTTTTTTAATATATATATATATATATATATTTTTGCATGTGGTAAGACAATTCAGCCATGGGCTCGCTCAACTCTCTCAAGTGGTTGTCATTTCTGAAAAACTTTATTACGATTACTACATGCAAATTTATTTAATCTTTTTACTTTCAATTTAGTTATACTTTGTGAGGTAAACCAGATATCTTATTGCTTATTTCAGGTTCTAGTTTACCATTTTAGCCCCAAAAAGGGCCATGTGAGAATCAGTATTCCGTAATCCGCCACGTAAAGGGGTCAAGGTCACACACGCACAGTGGTGGAGCTAACCCTAACCGTGTATGTGTGCCCTTGAATTAACAGGGGATTATTTTTAAACATATACGTAGTCGCTGTTCATAAAGTGTGTACATTCTGTGAATTGCTTCTCAAGCAAAGTACTTTAATTAATCATTGTTTTCAAATCGTTTTTTGCTTATAATTGCTCCAAAAAACAGGATTATTATTTAGAGGTAAGTGAACAATCTAAATATATTATTAGTATTATTTTCAAAGTAGTAATGATTCATAAAACGAAACAATTCATTAAGAACATCTTTTATCTTTCAAATTAACAAAATAATTCAAAAAGCAACTTTTTATTTATCTCTATAAAACGCAGACAAATCTTACCCTTAATTGGGCAGAATTTGATTTATCTATTTCTAATATACAATCACAATTTCCAACAAAAAAAAAACTCTAAAAAAATTACTAATGATTTCTTTTTCAATAAAGTTTATAATTATTATGTACCTGAGATGTTTTCAATATTTCAATTGCTTATAACAAATGCTTTTTAGTAATTTGTATTAATATTGGTTTAATTTACTGAAATATTTTGAATCAGCAGAAATAAGAAAAAATTTCACACTCAATTCTCAGAAATAAATTAAATTTTCCGAAAAAAAAAAAAAAAAAAAAAAATTGTTTCTAAATTTTCGGCCAAATTAATTTCTTCATCTGAATCTTTATTTGATAGCAAATGACATAAATGGGCTCTTGACTTTCAAATAATATAATGAGAGAAAATCATATGATGCATTTTATATATAGAATAAAAATTAAATTTTTTTATTTAGTGCAATAAATATTTTTTTAGAAACATTTTCTCAAAAAAAGAAAAAAAAGTCTGGAGCACAAAACAGAAAAAGGAAATTGCAACGAGAGGAAGCTAATCAGAAGCTGGTGGGATCTCTAAATAAATATCTCAGAAACACAATAGGATTAGAAGGACAAGCCATTGAACCAGGATCATCAGCAACAACATCTGGTTTGGAATTTCATAATGAAAATTTATCTCAAAATGTAAATTCATCAGAATATGATCAAGAAGGAGCCAAGTTTGTACCAATAGAAAACTTAGATGTTAACGTAGAAAAATCGCTTGGTAATAACGTAATATCTCAAAACGAAGATTTTGAATTAAACGATCCAGCTACCTGGCCTGATACAATTTCTATAAAAATAAGAGATTATTTAATGGAAAATGGCCCTCCCCGTTTGATAACCAAACATTTTCCGAGAGAGAATTCTGGCAGAAAGTTTTCAGAGTCATTCTATTATAGAACATTACAGAATGGAGAAAATGTATTTAGAAATTATTTAGTATATTCAAATTCCCGAAACCCAGTCTTTTGCTTCCCATGTAAACTATTCAGTGAGAAGCATTCACAGCTTTTTAAGGATGGATGTAATGATTGGGCACATTTAACCCAAATTTTGAAAACACATGAAAGCAATGTAGCTCACCTTAAACATAGTTCAAAATGCAGTGAACTTGAAATGTCTTCGCACAATTTATGTACTATTGATGCAGCTCAGCAAAGACTTTATGATACAGAAAAGGTTTACTGGCAATCGGTTATTGAACGACTTATTTATTTAATTCAACAGTTAGCCCAGCAATGCCTTGCATTTAGAGGTTCTTTAAAAGAGTTGTATCAAAGTGATAATGGAAATTTTTTGAAGTTGGTTGAAACCATAGCAAAATTTGATCCAATAATCGCTGAACATCTCTACAAAATTCAAACATCTCAAAAGAAGAACATTGCTCATTACTAAGGGGATCAAATTCAGAATGAAATTATAAGCATTATTTCAGAAGGAATTAAAAAGCATTTATTACATATGATTAAATCGTCAAAATATTACTCACTAATTCTGGATACTACACCGGATGTCAGTCATTCCGAACAGTAGACTGTTGTAATTCGATTTGCTTATAAGAACGAGGAAACCAATAAAGCCCAAATTGAAGAACATTTTTTAGGTTTCAATCTGTCGACGACATTACTGGACAGGGTCTGTTTGAATTCATAAATGGACATTTAAAATCGTTAGAACTAAATTTATCAGATTTACGTGGGCATATGAGAGAAAAGCACAAATGAGAAAAGCACAATGGTGCCAATATGAGAGAAAAGCACAAAGGACTCTGCCCATTCTCTAAATTTAGTTGTAAATGATGCAGATAAAATTTCCTTCGAAACAGTTAATTTCTTAGGAGTAGTGCAGGAGCTTTACAACTACTTTTCTGCATCCGTTAAACGTTGGTCTATTTTGCAACAGTATGTTGAAAATCTAACTTTAAAGCCAGTCTCCAACACCAGATGGAAAAGTAGAATTCAAGCTTTAAGACCATTGAAAAACGATTTGAAGGGAATTTTGAGAGCGTTAATAAATATTCAAAAGATCAAGCAAGAGATATGGAATCAAGAACTCAAGCAAAAAATTTGATTCAAAAGCTTTCCTCGTTTAAATTCATTTGTTCCATTAACATCTGGCATGATATTTTAAATTTAATAAATGTGGTAAATAAAATAATGCAAAATTCTAAATGCAACTTACAAATCGTGACTGATAATTTACAAAATCTTATATCAGAACTAAATAATCGTAGATCAGATGAAACGTATGAACATGCAATTGCCAATGAAGTATCATTGCTGATGATTTGGGGGTGGATACTGATTTTCCACAAAGTCGAAACAGGTTTAAAAAGAAACTATTTCAAGATGAACAAACCAATGAACCAATCAACAATCCAAGACAAAAATTTGAGATTTAATTTTACAATATAATATTAGACACTGCTATTTCTTCAATTACTGAAAGATTCAGTCAATTAAAAGAACATTACAATTACTTCAAGGTAGTACACTGTGTACATAATTTAAAAAACTGGAGTGACAATGAAATTTTAAAACATTGTAAAGAATTAGAACAAAAATTAACAAATACTAAAAATGTTAATGAAAAGGACATTGATAAATTAAATTTGTTCGAAGAAATAAAATCTTTGCGATGTTTTACCAAAGAAGATATGTCACCTATTGATGTTTTAAATTATATTTATGAAAACAATCTTACCGATACATTTCCGAATATTGCAATAACTTTACGCATTTCTTTAACCTTGCCAGTTTCGGTGGCTACTGGAGAACAAAGTTTTTCAAAACTTAAAATTATAAAAAACTATATGCAATCTACTATGGCGCAGGAGAGATTATCGGACTTGTCAATTATATCCATAAGAGCGAAATTTTGAATAAATTAAATATAAAGGAACTGATACGTGCATTTGTAGCTACTAAGGCTAGGAGAATCAATATTTGAATATATTTTTAATTTTTATACTTTACTTAAAAAATTTTTATCATTGTTTTGTTTTTTAAATTTATGAAATAATAAAAAACAATACCACAAATGCGTGTTAATATTATAATTTATGAATAATAAAAAACTAATAAGACAAATGTGTATTAATATTATAATTTTTAAGCTTTTCAATTCAAAAGTCAAATTTTGAATGCTATAAAAGAATATTTCACATATAATTTGCAACATTTTATAAGTGTGCAACTAAACTCCATAAAGGGGCGCCAGATTTCAATTTAAACAGGGGCGCCTAATACCCACGCCGTGGCCCTGCATATATAATATATTAAACAATCTTAGTGCATTTTTTTCTTTATATGATTTCTTGCTTACAACTTAATACAACTTTATATCAATAAATAACTATCAAATTTTTTTGTAATAAATGGAATATTGATTAATGATGATCAATCACTCGCAAATATTCCACTATCAAGTCCTTGATCATCACTGAACACCTTTCAAATTTTATTGACCTGAGTGAGAACCCTGATTGAAAGAAATGTCTATGAACCCACACCTCCCAATAGTAATAGCATACTGACCACGATCCAGCAAAAACGCAGCATTACTCTGGGCCACTTCATACCCTAATTCTGCCAATAATATATACTTCACCAAAGCTTCATTGATTCGACCCTCTTTGTAATCACCATACGCTTGCATCAAATTCTCTCCCCAGCGTCCCCTTTCAGCAACATTCTTGAACAGCTAGAAAAACAGCGATTATGAATTTCTTTTAAGAGTAATAAAATACAATTTCAAAAATGTTTTTATAGAATAAGCTTTTATCTAAAATGGATATGATAATGCTCTAAAAGGAGAAAAATAATTTATCATAAAGTTTAATAAGAATAACAGGTAAAATAATTCTACTCACAGAATTCATCTATAATTTTAAAAGACCAATTGCAAAATCACAGGGTACCTAAGATAAATTAAAAAGGATAATGGCTTATGCATTTTACATTGCAATTATATTAATAGGTTTTGTTACTTAGGTGCCTCATATTTTTATTATTCATGATATAAAATTGTAGACGAATTTCACCAATAGAATTATTTTATCATTCCCATTAAACTATGTGATAATTTTTCCCCCTTTAATGAATTAATTATTCCACCAATTTTAAATAAAAGTTTATTGAATGAAAACTTCATTTATTTTCAGTTTATAAAAAACTGCATTTTATTTTCTGCTTTTAGTCTCAAATTACGTAATAAAAATCATGAAATTTTTAGCCATTCTTTAAGTATGAGCAGTACATTATTAAAAATTATGAAAAAAGAGAAATAACATCATTACAGAATGAAGAAACTATTTGGATTCAGTTTTAAAAATTGGGTATAATAACCATGTTACAATAAGCATTTTAGTTGAAGTTAAAGTGAAAAAACAAATACTGCCAATTTGTCATTCAGTGCCTCATGATAAGTAAACTCAACAGACAATTTTTCTAAAAGCTTTATATCCGTTACATTTTTAAATGTTGAAATTTTAAAATCATAAATGTTAAATGGTCTAAAAATCATCAAAAATTCAGAAATTAAGCTACGATTTTCATACAAGTTTCACTGAAAAGAGAAAATATTAATGTCAAATAGTATAAAAAATCAAGTGATTAAAAAAAATTCAGGAAATAAGTTACAATTTCATATAAGTTTCACTGAAAAGATTTGTTCCACTCTATCGGGTAGTGCAAACAGTGAAATTCTCATATGCTTAATCCATTCATTTAATGAAGACATATGTGAAAAATTGTTTAAATATTCAATTTTTAAAAATCTAAATTGAATTTTGAAGAAATTCCTTCACTATTGTCATCAACAAACAATGTGTGCACAAAATTTGAACCTAAGTAGTTGAAAGAAGTAGTACAAATAAGCTAAAAATTAATGATGAAATTTCACTTACAAACACATAAGTGAACTAAATAAATGGTTATAAAAATACAACATAATTAAAGCCAATAGGCACTTTCCTTCCAAAGTTTATATTTATTGCATTATGCAATAAATATGAACTCTGGAAGGCCCAACATAAATACTTTTTCTGAGGCATCATTATTATAAATTCAAGGCACAAAAACATATTCACAACATTTTTAATTATTAAAAATTCAAAAATGCTTACTTCTACAGCTGTTGTGCAGGAACGAACGGTCCCCGTACCAGTTGCGTGCATCTGTGCCAGGCTATAAAAAGCGAGAACGTGGCCAGACTGTGATGCCATCGTATAATACTTTATAGCCATCTTATAATCTCTTTGTATTCCTAAACCACCTAATTTCAAAAGTTAAATTAGTATCTTTAAATCAAACAATGAAATCAATAGTTTGAAACGAAGTCAAATTAATATCTTAAAACTGAGTTAATACCTTTAATTTAAGTTACTAAAAATTAATAATTCCAAATGAAGTAAATTAAAGTTAAAAGTTTTGAATGGTTAAAAACTTTAACTTTGAATGGTTAAAATTAAAACTTTGATTTAAAGCTAGCTACAATTAATACCTTTAAGTAAAATAAGTTAATAACTTTAAACCATGTAAATAAAAATTAAATTAATAACTTCAATCAAGTACTAAATTTACACCAATTCATTAAACTTTAAATAAGCTAAAATTAATATCTTTAAATTATGTTTAGTTAAAATTAACAATTTAAATGAAGTAATAAATTCAGTACCAATTAATTCAATGTGCAATACAATTTATCTTGAGCTTGACTTCATGAGAGTAAAAAGCAGATGATTATTGTAAGAAGCATAAAGTGAATTTTCACAGAAAACAGAGAGATACATATCATAATATTTTTATGTAATTAACACAAGGTAAAAGGCTTATCATAAAAACTGGAAAATTAGGTAAATGTAATCAATTTTAATTTTATTTAGAATGAAGTTTGTTTTTGCTGAAAAGTAATCTGAAAATATCACTTTATAATATTTATTTTCTTGCTTCATACTCAAGGTATGTAAAAATGACCAAAATGAAAATTAAAGATGCTTTTAAACATGAGAAAAAAGGAATAAAAGTGCTTCATTTTAACACTATTTTTCTTTTAAAAAAATAATTTTAATAGATAAGTTTTATTACGATAATGTCAGAAAAATATATTTGTTAAAAAATTGTCATAAAATTTGTTCATCATGGATTCAAAATAAGGGAGCAAGCTTCACTTAGTATTGGTAGGGGGAAGAGTTTAATTTAAAAATTTTTTCTCTCATAAACTGTTAAATACTATTTTTCATCTTAACATACTAACTTTATTATGTTTCTTAAAGAATTGGCATGAAATTTGCTAATTATGAATCAAAATAAGGGAAAGTAGAAGTGCTTTTTTTAAATAATGCAAGGAAGAGAAAAAAAGTTACATTTTAATTCTATTTTATTTTTTAAAATAAGTAATTTTAATACATTACCTTTATTTTTATGATGTCATAGACATTTTTATATTTGTTAAAAAATGTCATGAAATTTGTTAATAATAGATTCAAAATAAGGGGCGGGAGCTAAAATGCTTAATTTTAAGATTAAAATGCAAAGTTTTAAGACTACAGTAAAAAAATTACAGTTTTAAAGATTAAAAAAAAATTATCACTTCAGAGGTTCGACAAATGAAAATTAATGTTTTATATGGTTCCCAAGATAACAAAGTCGAAGCTTAGTTTCTCTAGATTGGCAACAAATCCGCTATTTTGCCAAGTTTGAAATATAAACGAACATTCCGTCATCGCAAAATTCATTAGGCTTAGCTGCACTTAACTGTTTGACTGCTAAGCAATTCTTGCAAGAATGCACGAAGTATTATAAAGCAACAAAGACACACTGAAACTCGCAGCACAAAAGCACTGCGTCGCGGTATTCGAGACAAATGAACGCAGCGCTTTTGTGCCACGTAGCAGTCAAAATGGTTAAACAATTTTTAAATTATTGATAACTCCACAAATATTGCATGCAGATTTACTTAAGGCATAAAAACCTTAATCAGAAGATAAGAACAACATAATTCAATCATTTTTAAAGCAAAAAATGCACAACTTACAAACATATAAGAGTAAAAAAACTGAGATCATCGAGCCAGTTAACAGAATGGATATATATATATATATATATATATATTATATTTATATACGTTTGATGCGGCCGATTGCAACCAAAATACGAGGTGCCCATCTACATGTTATAGCAATCCTATATACAAAATTTCAGCGTTTTGAGGCTACTTGTTTTTGAGTTATGCGAGATACATACATACAGACGCTATGAAAAATTCTCTTCAGAATTCATTTTAAATCAATTTTATAATTTTTGGGGTGGAAAAGAGTCTTTTATTCTGCCTTTACGTACAGATGTCACGCAAAAATATCGTTAAATTGCATTTGAAATGTCACGCAAAAATATCGTTAAATTGCATTTGAAAGCGGTCAAAATGGATATTTTTGCTGAAATATGATGCCTGAAAATTTTGCAATTACAATAGTTCCTTTTTACTTCGTACGAGAAAGTAAAAACCAAATCAACAAAGTTTTAAGACTACAGTCAAAAAAATATTGTTTTAGAGGCTCCACAAAATTTTAGTTTTAGGGATTCCATAAAGGAAAATTAAAACTATGGTGGTTCTCCGTGTCAACAAAGTTTTAAGACTATTTTCAAAAAGTTATAGTTTTAAGGGTAGAACAAAAGTCATAATTTCAGGGGTTACATGCATGAAAATTTATGTTTTACATTTTCATGAGTCAACAAGGTTTTAAGAATATTAACATAAAATTAGTTTTAGAAGCTCTACAAAATTTACAATATTTTACAAGAAAAAAAATTAAAGTTTTATGAATTACACTATAAGTTACAGCTTATGATTCCTGCAATTTCAGTTCAATTGATATAGGACTACAAAATATGTTTTACTGGCTAATTACTAATGGATGCTTTCAGAGACAATTTTTTTGCCATTATTTTTATTTTCTTTGCCAAAATTTTTGCTTTGGGTTGGTTGGTTGGTTTTTTAAAAGGTACAAAACCTCGAGGATTATTATGCGCCAGACAAATGGTGAGTAAAATTCAAGATGCAAACAAGTATCAAGTGAATTGATGAAATGAACGTGAAATACTGATTAAGGCATGGAGAAATGACTTTAAAATGTCCAGGCAGAAATGACTGAAAAATGCTCTAGCAACAAGTAGAGCAGAATAAAATGTAGTTCAAATCATATGGTAAAAGGAGATGTCTTTTAAAAAACTTATGAGGTTGATTTGAGGGTTTCTTCCAATGAGATCTGTTAAGTTAACATTTGTATAGTTAAAATAAAATTCACGTTTGTGACTAAAAGCAGGACAGCAGCTTAAAATATGATTGACTGAAACAGGAACGTTGCAAGTGCCACAAATAGGCTCATTATCTCCTTTCAAGAGGTACTGATGTGTCAGTCTGCAATGACCAATTCGTAACCGAGTCAGTAGTACATCCTCCTTCTGATTCCTTCTCAACTCCCAGCACTCCAAATTGGGTTTTACCTGCCTTAATTTTTTCAGAGTTTGGCATTCGAACAATTCTTGCCACCTGAACTTTATTCTAATGTAATTCCATATGTCTGTAATGGGACATCGTTTTCTGAGGTAATATCAGCAGATTTTGCTGCAATATCGGCGAGTTCATTGCCTTTGATGCCAGCGTGTCCAAGCACCCAGCAGTGCGCGATATAATAACCTGCGTTTCTCAAACGGAGGTGTGCTTTTAAAATTTCTAAGACCAAAGGGTGGCTGATATTTGTATTTGATTCAAGAGCACTCAGAGAATCAGAGTAGATGATGAACGTTCTGCTATTCTGCCTAGAGAGAAAGATTAAGGCATTCAAAATAGGCAAAAGTTGCCGCAGTAAAGACAGATGCAGCCTTATGAAGTTTACACCATTTATTTCTTTATCACAAACAAAAGCTGCCCCGAACGTGGTCATTGATTCTTTGAGCCATCAGTAAAAATTGCTTTGTAGTTAGAATAACTGCTTCTATGCTCTAGGAAAATTTGTTGGTAATGGATATCATTGGTACTGCTCTTCTTTACTTCTCCAAAAATGTTAAGTAGGTGAATGTTCACTTCTTGCCAGGGAGCAATACCAAAAATGTCAAAGCTTTTGGGATGCAGATCATTTAGGTTAAATTCTTCAATCAGTGAGTGAATGTGAAGATCAAAAGGTGGGATACATGAAGGATGGGCATGGTAAAGACGCCAGTACCGATCAGATGTCATGAGTCAGACAGGATGTTCGGCCTGTGACATTACTTTATAATGAAGATCAATGGACAACTGTTTGCGTCTGAATTCCAAAGATGGTTCAAAACAGATGACATATAAACTTTGGACTGGAGATGTTCTGAAGGCTCCACAGCAAATCCATAGCGCTTGATGGTGAACTGGATCCAATTTCAGGAGCACAGAAGGTCTTGCTGATCCATAGATAACACAACCATAGTCAAGTTTGGAACGGATTAAAGCTCTATAAATGAGGAGCATAGAACAACATTCTGCTCCCCATGAGGTATTGGTCAGGACTTTCAGTATGTTGAGAGCTTTAGCACATTTTTTCTTTAGATTTAGGATATGTGGAAGGAAAGTGAGCTTTCTGTCAAAGATAACTCCTAAGAATTTTGCTTCTGGCTCAACACGGATCAAAGAGCCGTCAAGATGCAGCTCTGGATCAAGATGTAGATTTCTTTTGCGACAGAAGTGAACACAGACTGTCTTCTGGCTAGAAAATTTAAAACCATTGTTGTTGGACTACTTCATGATTCTATTTAGAGTAATTTGTAGTTGTCTCTCAATGTATCTCATATCTTGCGCCTTTTCCATGTCAAAGAAGATTGAAACCACATGATTTCTTTTCACAAATGCATTGCATACTGCGGTTTCTAAAAACAGGGCATTATCAAGTGAAGATCTTCCCTTACGGAAACCACTTTGGTAAGGCGATAGGCAATGATTAGTCTCCAGATAGTAGGTGAGACGGTGATTTACCATTTTTTCCATTATCTTGCAAAGGCAGCTAGTGAGCGCGATGGGGCGATAATTTAAAGGATTTTTCGGGTCCTTGCCAGGTTTTACTATAGGGATAACAAAGGCCCTGCACCAGGCAGGAAAAATTTGTTCCTTCCATATCTTATTATACAGAGCAAGAAGGACCACTAGAGATTCATAGGGCAGGTGCTTTATCATCAGATAACTTATGTCATCAGGACCAGGGCAAGTCCTATCAGTGCGAGATATTACATTTCTTAATTCAAACATGG